TATTTGGTGCTAAAATCAATTTACAAAAGAAATTTGCAAGGGAGCATTCCTGGTTTTGTCGAATGCAGGATGGTTTTTTGCAGGACAGCACTGAGGGCCTTTTATTCAAATGTAATCCCCCACCCTATCGATCCCTGGAAATTAACTTTCTGGTTGCTGTGTCATGGATTGCACGTAAAATGAGCGAAATTTGGATTAGTAATATTTCGCATGAAGGAGGAGACATGCCTTTCATTCGTCTGTATTATTCGTAGTAACAGAAAATAAAAGGATTAGTTATTTTTAGCTCGCCGCAAAAACGGTTTCTTTCAGATCTCTGATCATTGTGTGTTTTTATGCGTTTTGTACTGCAGCAGTTGTGTAAAACTTATATCGTCCAGAAGCTATGCGTGTTTATGTGTTTGCACATGTGTGTGTTTTCTGAAGCGAGTGAACTTCGCCACCCATTTTTAACTTAAGAAGCAGGAAAGCTATGAAGTTGAAATTTTGGGGGCGCATTTCCACCCCTTGTGCTACATTCCCGTTTTAAAATCATCACTTATACGCGCATAGAACTCGTGTAGGAACCCCGAAGAAAATGCAAATTTGGCTCGAAACGATTTCTTGACTCAAACAAGATAGAAAGCTGAAACTTTTGCAGATGTAATCTCTGTGTACATGTGAGCTAAAAATTTCAAATTCAGTAATCGCGTCAGAGTTCGCAGTTGACACTGTGCCAACTTGAAATCTGGCTAAAAAGCAATAAATGAAATTCTGTCAGGATATTTATCGTCCATTTTGAAAATCTTCCACCTAGGACGAGTTTTGATTTTCACTTGTGCCATGGCTTACGGCGCTTCAAAAATATTTGTTGCGAAGCGGCTATTTTGCTTACCGTGAAAGCTACGAAGCTGTAACTTTGCAAGCATGTTCTGCATCCACATGTGATCTAAATTCAACTTGAAAGCTAAATTCACTGCAGAGGGACGAGACGAATACTCAATTTTATTGCAAACTCAAAAACAAGTGTGTTTTGCGGATTTCTTAATCCTTCTATTTCTTCATCCTGTACATTTTCAAATTTGCATTTTTTGATGAACGAACGCTTACCAGAACCCAGGCCGGAACTCACCAGGCGAGCCGGTGCGATCATGCGTTTTTGCACCAAACTTGAAGTAATTAGGCTAACTGCATGAGCGGTTGTTTCTTTACATCTGCCTTGTACTCTCAATACCGTAAATCATCATAAATTTTGCATAAAAGAAAATAAACAATTTCCGTTTAGCGGTTGTTTTTTGAAAATGACCCAGTCGTTCAATGAGTAATTTCCAGCCAAAAGTTTAAGTGCCCGTACACTAGAACTACGCACGCCTGGGGGCTGAATTTGATAACTTTATGTCGTATATGGGCTGGGAACATCACCTTAAAATTTCAGTCTCCCAGCTTTGCTGGTTCCCAAGTTAGCCGTTTTCCTGTCAAAAAATTTTGCGGGGCCGTACGTGGGAAT